GCCTACCTCCTGCTGCAGCATTCTTTAGGAAAGCCCGGCCTGCTTGCAGGAGCTCTCTCTCATGACTTGCGATGAAAAAAACCATTAGGCCGGCTTCTCCAATGGTTAAAGCAGAAGGCTGGAAATCCAAGGTTCTCTCCCCTCCCTGCCCCCCGCAACCTTGACAACACACATGGTGGGCTCATTGTCACATCTCCTGCTTCATGGCACCCCCCATTGTACAAGTTAACACAAGGAAAGGTGCTTTGAAATGACTGAATAGGATTCTCAACCTTTGGAACCTGCTGAAACTCCCTGGAGGAGTCCACAGTTCATTTCATCCATCACAAACCTGTTTGTAACAGTTAGCGCCACCAAAAAAATGACACTTTTTCTTAAAGAAAGTTTTTCTATCATTCAAAATGGAACGGCAGCTTGAAACGTAGCAGCTCACACCGTGTCACTAGAGTGATGTGCTTGTAGTATGCTCCTGTTTGCCCTGAGTGCTCTGTTCATCCCAAGTTCATTCTCTCATCAGATCAGATCACTTTAATTTATATATACCATACCTCCCCGCTAAAAGTCACTCTTGCCATGTAATGTGAAGTAGAGGGCTTTTTTCCACCCATCCTTCTATACATCTTTATTTATTCAGCCTAAATGGTCAGAATTATTATGAGGAAGCAGAAGACTGTAGTAATGGGTAAGCAGATGAGCAGCACAATACCCAATTTAGCAGTCAGAAAGTGGCAAGTTTCTAAAAGAGCACCCCTATGTTCCTGTGAAAGTCCCAGATGCCAGAGCCAGTTCTAGGGGAAGCAACCAAGGCAAAAGCTGGGGGCCATGAGGCATGTGGGATGACATTATGCTAAGTGAATCAAAGTTATCCTATGAGCAGATGGGAAGAAAGAGGGGCCAACATCTTAGCTTCTGCCCAGCACCCTCCTGTGTCTAATACTAGCTGTCTTGTATGTGCCCTAATTTTGGTGTCCACTCTACAAGGCACCAAGATGTCTGGGAAGAACTGCTTAAGGTGGCTCTGTACTTAAAAATAGCTTCAATGAGCAGCTATTTGATTATTTTCTGACACTAAGATTATATTATGTGGTTGCCTGTTACGGCACGGTACTGAACTCAATGACCCAAGAGGTCCTTTCCAGGCTCATGATCCTAGGATTTAAAACTCAGCAACAAAAGATTAAAAGACAATGCTCAACATCACAGGCATCTGAGCAGTAGCTGTCACTTATTTCTGAAATGTACTCCTACCTTGCTACCTGGCATGAATCCAAATAGCATACCACCCTGGGTAAGCTCCAGTAGCGCCCTTCAACTCTGCCAAGATAATGGCTCATAAAAAAGAAACAGCATATTAGCTGGAGACCTCACCTGATTAGTGACTTCCATACAGAAAACAAGCAGTTAATAAAACAACAATCTGAGAAACGACTGGCTGTTAGAACCACAGCAATCCAGCAGACTAAAAATGAGATCAGTTCAACTACTTCAGCTTCCTACAGCTGCTGCTAGAGAATCGTGCGTACACGCAGCCATTTGAGAGAGAAATGGATCCCTAGTACCACTTTTTTACAACTCATTTAAAATTTAAAATTCAAAAGTCTCTATGCAGGCAAATCAAACAGAAGAGAGTGTCATATTCAGAAACACCAGCCACTGATTTCAAACTAAGGTGGAGCAATTTCCAATATACTTCACAGTCTCTCTTTAGATGCATCAATGCATACAAATATTACTGTACTAAGGGTGAAACCTGAGACTTAAAAATGGAGTTTATACTAAAAAACTAGCTACTTCTGAGTGCTTATAAGCTCAGCCATTTCACTAGATTTCTCAAGACAAATTTAACAGCATAAGACAACACTGTAATGGAGTAAGACTGCTACTGCAGGACGTGGCTGCAGGTGAAGACTGAGGTGCTCTGGCAGAGTTGGAGAAGGAAGGAGCGTGATGTTCCCAGGAGGAAGAATTGGTGAACAGGGAGACTTGTAACAAGGGCTGCTACAGAACTGCAAGAGGGAAGCCTGCACTGCCCCCCGTCCCATCCTGACGGCAAAGAGCCCATGTCAATAAGCACATGCTACATTTTCAGGGGAGAGAAGATATTTACTTATCTTTCAAACATTAGACCTTGTTAGAACAGTCAAGGAACCGTATTTTGAGCATCCTGTAAAATACACTTGGCCGGCTCTCCACTCCCAGGAGGGACATGGATACTATGCCTGAACAATATTTCTTCTTGGCACTAATGTTTGCTTAAGACTGGGGAATATCTAAGTTATGGACAAAATAAAGCTCAGTGAAAAGTAGCCAGGTAGGGACATAAACTCAATTCAATTTGTGAATTTTTCCTAGAGCTACTAGACTGCTTACTTTGGATACTTTACTGTATTTGATACTGCCAGCTGCATTAGAGCAAATAGCTAGCATACTTTATTTAGGCAGGGCTATAAGGGCAAGCCATGCTGGAACCCAGAAACCTGGTTAAGAGAGATACTGGCCTCCACCGCATTTGTTACAACACGCATGGCAAAACCAGGAGGCCGCTGACAACTGCACGTGTCAGGTAGGTGTGTTTAAGTTAGTCTTCCCACAAGGAGCTAGACCCCACAAATGTTTACAACTTGCTTGTGAATCTTCGGTAAATTAAATTCACAGAGCAGCATTTAAACGTTTTGAGCAGTGAACTGTGTTTCCATTTGGAAAAAACCAAGGGAAAGGCAATGCCCTTCCCCAGGTCTGAGACTATAAACAACAAACACAGAACAGCTAATAAGTTAGATGCCATTCAGTTACCCCTGCATCTTTCTTAGCTTGCCCCTTTAATTCATAATACGTTTGCCGAGCTTATTGTATGACCAACCATTTAATTCCATCATAAGGGTCATTCTTCTCAGCTCTGCTTTTGTCTCTCATCTCCTTGATATTTTTATAGAAATGTTAAGCATTACACTTATTATTTGTCCCTAAGAGGTAGAAATTAATTACGAATAGTTTCATTTTTTAAATCAGGACACCGGCTACGCTTTGAGAAGTCTCAGTTTGGTAAGTTTCCAGTTACAAGGTCTTGGCTTCCGCTGAGCACAGTTTGAAATAAAATAATGCAGCTTGTTCCTACTGCTGGAACACGCCGAGCCAAGTGTGCAGGCAAGGAATCGCTGGCACCAGCCCAACACTTCAAACCTGTCTGAAACTGTCACTCCAATCTTGGTGCAGTTTATGTATAAAGTTGTGATATATGAATGTACACCCCTCCTCCACCAAGAGCTAGACAGCCTTTTATCTTGGACAGAGGCAAAGGAAGAGGAACAGGAGGAAGAGAAGGAAGAAGAAAAATACAAGCCTGCTAGCGAAGGAGCTTATTAAGGAAAACAAGGTGACAGGTAAGGAAGTGATGCTTCTTTCCAGCCTACCTTTACCAAGGGCTGCGTCAAGGCATAGCTGCTCTAAGTCAGAATACTTTACTTCATTCCTAACATTTGCATTACTTTTCATTCAATACCTTTGTGAATCAAACAGACCCCTCCCCCAATACATTTATGCCCCTGGCCTGGGTCTACAGGGTGCTGCACCTGACCCTGCAGCAGGCCAACAATGCTGGGCACATACAAAAACCTCAAGTATCTCTACAGGCTCTCTCTAGCTTCCATCATTGTGACATTTGAGCACAAATGGCTCTCTGCAGGCTTTGATCATATAAATCTAAGACATGTTGGAATGTCCCAGAGATTATACTGAATCCTGCCCTCATCTGCCTTTTTTGTTAATTAGACTGAGATAGTTCAATTGAGAGATTGAATATAAGAGGATTTTGTTCTCCCCCTCCACCATCCCAGCATATACAGGTTATTTTTTCAAGTCTTTCGTGTACATTGTTTCAGCTTTCCCTGTTTTCTGGATGTCTATGATGGAGTTATAATCAGACCTTGGAAATATAGCAAGAGGCCAGATAATACCATGCAAAATGGAAATGGCAGTTTTTACTTTAGAAAGAGGCTTTCAAGTCTGTAGACCACAGCATTAGAAGAAAACATTTAGTTAACCACCCTCTGTTTATCATTCATAAAGGAAAACAATCAATACCCATTTACAGAGCAAACAGAATGAAAACTTAACATTTTCTTTTATATAGAAAATCACAATCTTATTGACTGATAAACCTTGAAATGCAAAATGCTAAACTTTGAACTAAATCAAGCTGGGTTTTTTGGTATTGATGTGCAGCCATTTTTAGAAGAGACAGCACTTTGGAGTGCTCAGCAGCTTTCATCTTTCAGATCCTTGATGGAGCCTAAGTAGCATTAAGCCTACACCTTATCAAACAAAATTGCGAAAAATGTAGTTTGCCAATGTGTTATAGCCCACCATCTGGGTTCATCAAGAGAAGGTCACCAGAAGATCCATCTGAAAGTAGCATTTATCTGTTTTTTCTTTCAAGTAAGTGTATGAAAAGGGGCTTCACTAACATGGTGTAAATGTTAGTATATGGCATCTGTATCGAGACCAGAACTTTTTCATTCAAACCCTTGAGAGGCCACAGAACCTCAGCCAAAACCGTGTCTGCTGTAGGATTTTCCCCAGACCAAGCACATTCATACATTTATTGTTATTACAAACAAAGAACACTAGAGATTTTTCAGCAAGAAATGAAGTATGACATATCGATATTGACCCACCAATGTACATCTGCTTCTCTGCTCTGCAATTCCTTATGTTGTTCAATTATGCCAATATATACAATTATTATGTGGTTATTATTTATTTCCACCTCATGGCTATTTCAATGTGTACAATGTTTATCTCAGTATACAGTGTCTTTCTAAGTAGAGTGGTCCTTTGCAGTATTAATGAAGTCCAAATTCACCATGATATCCCTGGCACCCTACAAACAATTTAGAATCACCTTTTATCTCAAACTATTGGTACTCCAGAAGATCTCCTGTATAATTGTCACTTTTTAAAGTGCTACATCAACAGAAGAGATTATTCTAAAAAGTACTTACAGTGCTCAGTTTACTACAGCAGATGAGGATGCGACGTTCATACAGCATACTAGCATAGAGATGCAGCATGTTGTTGACATCAACGGCTACAAAATACTCTGTCAGATTTCTCTAGGAAGAAAGATTAGAGAGGTTTTGAAAAAAATACTGCAAACAACAATATCTTAAAAACAGCAAAGAACTAGATTGCTTCCCAGTGTCTAACCACCAACAGAAAGCTGCTTATTAGCAGAAATCTATGGGTCAGCCCATGTGCGCAGTTTGTTTGTGCTCTGTCCTTGAGCTTTTTTAAATTAATGCCAGCCAAAACACTCATTTAAAAAAATTATACCCAACTTGTAAACTACAAATTGAAGAGATTTTCTGTAGGAGTAAAGAGGTTCTCTTTACCAATAGAGCATATATACATTTCTGCAAAAGTTTTTTTTAAAAAAGCTCAGTTACTTGCAATCCAACAGAAGACGACAGTGACTGGCAATTTCTAATTGAACTTAATCATTAAAGAATCTGCTAATGGCACAGCCTACTGTAGAGCAATTATGATTACTGGGAATATAGAGGCATTAAAATACAAGGTAAGAATAATGGTCCTAATATTCAGCAGTTCGTACTGCTCTAGGAACTTGAACCCAGTTGTTACTATGAGGAGGGGCAGCAAAAGCATCCTCAGCTAGAAACAGAAAAATAAGTCATACAAAACCACTGCATTTATACAGCTCTGTGAAAGAAACAAGCTACACCAAGTAGCTCTTTATCCCACTCTCCCACCCACCCTGGGGCCGGGCCTGAAGCTCTGTCAATGTGGGTGTCCCCCACGCCGTTCAGGGGCTAAGAGGGTGTATTACGGTAGTGTTGGAGCAGTGGAATGGCTCCCAAACAAAAGACAGCAAGTGAAAATTAAAAGCCAGATTCAGCTGCCTTTATTCACACAAGTGGCACCTCACTCCACATATCTTCCCAACAGAAATCAATGGAGTACTTTCATGCATAAGGAGCTCTCTCAGTGTGAGCAAGGTTAGCTGAAACTGGCCTTTGATTTCTACTAAAAATGGATTCAAAAAGCCATTCTAGAATAGGAAACCTTAATTCATCAGGAGAGGCTGAATTAGTGGATTTGATTTAAAGTAAACTCTTCATGGACGTACTAAAGACTGGTATAAGGTAGGATTTATATTTATATATAAAAAAGCACATGATAGAGCAAAATTAGACTAGTCATGAATTCAAGTGGGATCTTAATCATCATAGAATAAAACAGAGCACAAAAAAGCAAAAAGCAAATAGGATTTAGAAACTTAAAGAAGCTCAGAAAGCCCATTAGCACTTTTGACAGATCCAAAGATAACTCTAAAACCACCAATACTTGGCCTGAGGAGTCTGCCAAGAAGCTTCATACTGTGCAAAAATATGTTCCACAGCTTGCCATCCAAATACAAAGAAAGAGCTAGAGACAAGAACTGAGCCTGGTGTTTGGAAGATTTTTGTGGTCATTTAAAAAAAATAAAATATAAAAAATAAAGTCTCTTTGCTTAGTAAAATGAAGATAGGTATAAGGGCATCATTCAGGTCTCACCAGACCCCTTGTCATGGGAAAGCTATGGCCACATACAGGTACACTGAAAAAAAAAATGCATTTTGCCAAAACCCCATTAAACTGTCATGTACTTTTTCTGTATTTCTCATCCCATCTGTGCTGATTAGCATGATATTTGTGTCTAAACAGAAGCTGTCTCCTTTAAAGCTCTGCTTCCCCCATACACCCATCTCTCTGTGATGCCAAAACATAGTGCATGACGACACAAAATGTTTCAAGCGGTATGAATTAAGATGTTACAAGTATTGAAAGGTCTGTTCTTCCTTGAAGGAACTTGCAGCACGCACTGAAGTTAGCTGAGATATGAGCATAGCAAAAGGAGTTTACAATCCTTCAAGTGAATCAACTCCACAAAACAAAAGCTTCCAGTATAAAAGAAAAAAAAAAAATCAATCAGAGGAAGGAAACATATGAAGAGGACTTAACAGATGAATCGGGATTTGATAAGCTGTTTGTATTTTATGAAGTTTGCCTAAGCATGAAGGTGGCTTGGAGGCACTAATGTATCCACGTGTAGAAAATGTTACCTGGTTATATATTCCCTCTGGAAGGAACTACACATTTCTGAGTCCAGAGAATACCTGTAGAACATGTGGGCTCCATGGCAATGTGCCAATACTAGAGAAATTCAGGTGCAGGAAGTTGTAGCTTTATTTATGAAAAAAAGTAGTAAACTACTACTTGTAGTAAACTTGGAAATGGCTGGCCGACTCTCACGAACGTCACGAGATGAGTAGGGACAAAACCTACAAAAAGTAGGAAACTTCTCACTTAGTTTAGTTGCTGTGATATTTGATTCTCAGCCTTAAAAATTCTTCTGAGAAAGTAAAGCTGGGTTTTTCAAGCTGGATTTTTAAGGGAAATCACATATCTAAATTTCTGTTAAAACAAACAAACAATGAGAATCCATTCCCTAATTTTCTTAGGTTCCTTTAAAAATACCTCCCTACATTTGTTCACTGACTGTGCAGTTAATTACTACTGGCAGGTAGTGGCTGCATGTGCACATTTCCAAAAAACCCAACCAAAATCATTTCTGCCTTCCCTCTTCCAGCATCTTTCCAAGGAACTTCTCACTAAACTTACGTAGCACTAGACTTACATAGACACAGACGTACGTGTCTTTTCTTCTGCAGCAAAACCAAATGTGTATTATAAAAACAAATTTAGGTAATGTCAGGCAGTCACTGGGTCTAAACTTCATTAAAAAGTGCTGTAAAGTACCCTTTTGGAAGAGACTACAGTAAAATGGCTTTACTGAGGTGTTTATCATGTTTGAAAAAACGCACTAAAACTTATCCTTCAGAGATCTAATAACTGTGTATCACATGTAACCCAGGATACATTTTATAACAAAATACTGAGGTTTTGAAGGGAAGGGGGGGGATCAAAATATAGAAGGGTGTGTATTTGTTGAAAACGATTAAACATAGGAATCTAAAATTAACAGCTTGAAAAAGATCATGAAACAAGAAGTAAAAATCATATATGCAAATTTTAATGAAGGATATTGTGAACTTTGAGGTGACAATGTGAAATAAAATGCAAGGAATCTGCATCACAGCAGCATCAGAGGGAAACTTTCCTCATCGCTGAAACAGCTAAATTACCTGACAAATCTGAAATACAATGGCTACTGTGTGCCGAACATGTCTTCGTAATGCGTTTCCTGCAATGAACCCAATGTGTTTATTTCTGAAAGTCACAATGCGTTCATAAATCCTTCGTATACCCAACCAAATCTTTTGAAAAAGTGAAATCTCAGTTGTTATATGCAACTGTCCATACTAAATGCTTTTGTGGATCATTAACCATTCTGGTCTGACACAAAGCCAGATAATTACAACATGTTTGTTAATGTTCCAAATGGAGTTCTATGCGATTCTCCATTAATCATTACACACAACTTCAAAATCTGGCACTACTAAAACATTTGTTAATACAGGCTTAAAATGTAATTACTGCCATGATGCGTGGCATTTAAAAAAAAACAAAAAACCCAAACCCAGGTCAATTGTTTAAAATCTATAAAGATTTATGCTCATTTAATGCCTTTCTGCTATTCTCTATATAAACCACAATCCTACATAAAAGATACCTTGACAGACAGATAAAACCCTAGTGAGCAATTACACACTGATATTCATTAGGAAAGCAAAATACTGCATTTATTAAGCACAGACCTGAAAAATAGCTGAGAATCTGCTGTAACAACAACCCTCAGATCAGAGGTTTTGTTTCCCATTCTTTTCTTTACACGATGAATCTGCGTAAACATTTATGGGACTCTGCTTAAATTGCCCTGGCTGCTCGCTCACTTTTCCTCCTATGGGTGAGCTGTGCATCTCCCCCAGAACAGCTGAGGTCCCTTCCCTCCTGGTCCCCTTCCCCACCCTTCAAGTCCACATTACAGCACTGTCTTATTCCCTGTGAGGCCTATCATCAGCCCAGTCACTGGTTCAGAGGGGATGCTTTTAAGCATCACATAACGCTGCCTCCCCTGTAGGCTGAACACTCTGCTTTCAAAGGGTTTCCAAGTCCTCCTGGCCCAAGGCCTTTGCTTTTATAACAGTCTTTGATTCATAAGCATTCATCATGTCTCCTGCTCAAATGTTTTGGGAAGTTGACTCATACCTTAGGATGCAAGCCAACATCCCTGGCAGACGTAACAGACAGAGGGTAAATAAGACTATACATTCTGAAAATCATTACTGTGTGCTGTATGTGCTATTAAAATGCTATCTATTAGTTAAAGCAGGAGACTGCCAGCAAGGACTCTTACATCCTACTTAAAGCTCTGCCACTGAATCACAATTTGATTCACTTCTCCACACTCGTCTCTGCCTCAATTTACCCACCTATAAAATGGAAATACTACAACTTCCTTACCTCTTCAGGTAGCACAAGGCATGTTAATTAAAAATCATAAAATGCTTTGAGATCATTGGATTGAGGGAGACATTAGAATAAGAAGTTGCCACCACCAGAAAACTTCAGGTGTGGGGAAAAGGACCAAACATTCCAGTCAGGCTGACAGCTGTTTTTAGCTTCAGGAAATGGGTCCTGTATTACTCCTTACATATCAAACTCCCATAAAAATAAATGCTCTAAAAATAAAATATGTCCATTAAATTTAATGATACTATTTATATTTACAGAAAAGCTAGTAACTATGTATGTTTCCAGTGGGAAAAAACAAAGGGAAGACGCACATCTGTTGCATAAACTCTCTAGGCAGCAAACTACTACATAATTAGAAGAAGGTGTGGCTAGACTGTTTTATTTTAATACTACAAACGAATATTTGTGTGGTGCTGGATCTGACCTTAGCAGGCTCAACCTCCTGGTCCAATAGCAAGGCCTTGAGACATCAGGCAGATAGACTAGGAAAGACTCCTTGCAGACAGGCATTAAAGAGCTGGGAGCCCCAGAATGCCAACCTGGTCCACTCTTTGCTGGACACTTGGGGTAGAAAGACACATCACCTGATGTTGCATTTATGCCGCCATACACATTTTTACAGCAGCACAAAGGATGAGGAATAGATGGCCCTACCCTTTGTTGCACTACGACAGTGACAATGACTATAGAACAGCGCAGCTTTATTGCAGTCGACCTCTATTTGCTCTGTGGCAAGAGAGCATGGGCAGCCCAGAGCTACCCAGACACTCCAGCAGCCCCAGACAGATGACTCGGGAGCTTGAAGGACCTGAGCCTGAAAACTTTTGCATGGGATCAGGTTGGAGTGGGACCTGGCAGAAGTCCTAGTGTGAAGGCATGGGGCACCAGGAATCCCACACGTCCCATGCTGTCCCGTGAAGGAACCCACACCAACCTATGCCTCCGTGCAAGGTATAGGTTGGCCTGAGCCCAAGCAAGGAGGCGTGAGCCAGTGAGGGACACAGGGAAACCCCGAGCAAGGGGGAACATGTTACCCATTGCCCTGCACCAGGACTCTGCCCAATGTGGGACAATGGGTGACGAGTTTTGCCCAATAACGTGAAATCAGCTATAGTGGGACATGTCCTGCCACAGATGATCCGCTTCATTTGCCAACACCTGCTTTTACCTTTACTGATGTCTCTCACTTTCTAACAGATCTAAACCATGCTGCAGCCTGTACAAGGCAAGTCCACCTTGTATCAAGTTGCTTAACTATGGTAAAACTAAAAAGCTAAGCTATCCCAGAATAGATAATTTTCCTGCTAAGTAATTTTTGTTTAAATGTCCTTATTTTTTACCTAAATAGAAATAGAATGAGAAGCTATTGATTAACAGCTACATCTTTGAAAATAAATGTCTTGACTTGGCATTTCTATCAAGAGACCATCATTCTGTCACAACTTCCCATTCACTTGATACTTGGCCTTAATTAAATGGGCATTTTAATCTGATCATCTGACACTGTAAATTGCTGACTCTAGAGAGAATACTTGAAATAAGTTTTATGGGGTTAATTTACAGTGACTATGGGAAAAGCTAATTTATTGTGTCACTAGTTAATTCTACAGAAAGCAGTTAAGTAGCAGGCATCCTTTAACACACCTTAGCACAATAATAGTTAATGTTTTAGAAAATAAAGAAATTGCAACGTTGCTACTGTAGAAAGCAAAAGGAAAACCAGCTCTAAAGTACACAGATCTCTATGCTACTCACATTTTCAGGTATGCTAGGAAGTTCTCTGATGTCAGGCACAGTAAAGTAAGAGTGCTGGAAAAGAAAAGCAACAATTGGTTATTTGGCACAGTTAAAAGCAATATAAATGTATTGTTTGGAATCAGTAATGTGTTTAGGCATAGTTGTAAACCATTAAACAAAGCCCTGCTAAGGAAACCGATACAACATTTGCTCTCAACTACCAGTAAGTTGGGTTTTTTGGTCATTAATTTCAAATGTTGGCTGCTTCTCTCTGTCACAAAAGAACTATAAAATGTTGAGACAAGTATCAAATGTAGCTAAAAAGATAAATGATATGTTATTCTTACCCTTCAAAGGTATTGACTCACACAGCCTCACACTATTTATGACAAGCCAGAAAAAAACTCCAAAGCCTTCTAAAATTCAGACCATGCTTCCTCAGCCCACTGCAAGATCCATGACTGAGTACGGGATATACAGCAATGGCCAAGGCCTTTTTGGACTAACACTGTAGAATATTAATATGGTTCAGTTTATGGAGGAATGGGGAAATTGAGATTATTGAGATGCATCTACAAAGGATTTATACTTCCATAGACTGACAGTGACTCGCCACTTATCTTGTGCCTTGAACCAAGGAATACTCATTGTGCCCTCCTTAACCATGCAAAAAGTTTCAAAGAGCCCTGACACAATAACAACAGCTGCTCTTGGTCTCCTTAACATTTCTCCTACTACAAATTATCATGTTCACCAATGGTCCACTAACCATGTTCTAAATGGCTGCAAGAGGTGCATACCAGGATATTATGAAGTCAACTGAGAAATGTTACTCATACTGTTTTCTCCTAATCTAAAGATACGTTTCATTAACTACTCTTTCTCCTTACTACTGCTTGCACTCTAGTACCGACAGAACACTGAACAGTTTGAGTTCTTGCACAATGCACATGTGCCCAAAACCCCGTGGTTTGGGAGAATCAAATTGGGGGGGGGGCAAAATATATATAAAAAATGCTCCAGCTTGCCAAGTATCCCCTCATAATGCTACAATACACCACACCAGACACACAAATTGCAGGCATGCATATGGCCAGAATTATTAACAACAGAGGCAATTATTTCGAAACCACATAGTTAAGATATATAGGACGAGCAGATATTTATCATCTTCTAGTTGTAACAAAAATCAAACCCAGCAGCAAACAGTGAGTTGAAGTGCAAAAATCCCATCACATGCTTAATGACCTCTCTCAAACTGACAGACCTAGAATGCAGAAAACACCTGACTATCAAAGACATACGCTATAATGAATCGTTACTGCTTGTACAGACTATAATGTGATAAAGTAACAGTTTTACTTAACTGCAAAACGTGGACATTTAAAAAAAAAACCTCAACGATCAAATGATTATGCAGCAAGAAGAAACAAAATGAAATGAATCCTTTTTCAGATACAATTAATAGCTCCATTAGGCTTTGCAGATGATGACAACTAAAAATGCATTCACTATTAGCTACCATATGTAAAACCAGCCCAGAAAACGTAATAGGTAGTAAAGGAATGAGGAAAATGAGGAGAGCATAGACAATGTACTGGTTGCAGTTGTTGCCGCATGCTGAAAGATGTGTCACTTGACCACAAGAAGTCATGCACAGTTTACAAATTGAAGATGACCCAATTAATAATTCTTTTCTTGGTGTCCTTTCATTAAGCAGAGTTGCGTTGCTTCTGTTGGGACTCTCATCTTGCCTATGTTTCACATGATGTGCATTTTCAAATACGTGCAAATCCTTTGTAGTTCTTAGGACACCACACAACCTTCGGGGGGGGGGGGGGCCTTTTTGGGGGAGCGGGGGG